ACGTGTTGCCATTCTGCCCTGCAGAAGGGACAAGGGCATTGACCGTGGGGCAGGATCAATCACTCCAGCCAGTCTCGCAGGCCCACGTGGCCATGTCCCAAGAGGGACACAGGCTCAGATGGCTACACTGGGATCCAGAGCAGGGCTGCCTGGAGGTGGTGGCATCAGGGTGTCCTGAGTGGGTGGGGTGGGCCGTCTGTCCAGGGGAGAGGAGCCTGACCTGGGCTTGCCTGCTGGGTGGGGGTAAAGGAGAGGGAGGATTCTGGGCGGCAGGGATTCCCGGTGAGGCTGGCAGTGAGGGGCTACGACTGGCTGGGGCTGAGCGCAGCGCAGGGCAGCCCGGAGCCCCACCCTCTGGTTCTGCGCCTGTCACACTGCCCGTGAGTGCATGGCAGTCCACTGGCCAGCAGGGCCCTGTCCAAGCCAGGTGGGGGCAGGTGGGCTGTGGGAAAGACTAGACCTGCTGGTCCCTGGGGCTCAGGCCTGAGAGTAGGGAGATGGCAGGTGACACCAGGTGCCTCACACTCTCCAGGAATCCTACTGCTTCGTCTTCCTTGCTGCGTGTAGGGTATGTCACCTGATGGGTCACCTGTCACCTGACAGATCACCTTCCGCCTGATGGGATCCACTGTTGTTTGGGGGGTCACCTGTCACCTGGTGAGTCATGCACTGGCCATGGGTGTCAGGCATGGACCCTGCTCTGGAGGTTTTCATGGGCTGGGACAGTGGTGTCCGCCTCTCCTGCTCCTCGTGCATGGGGCCAGCTCTGGGAACTGTGTGTCAGGACCCCAGGGTGGAAGGGGTCATCTGCTCTAGCACCCTGCTTGCTACTGGTCTGCTTCCCATCCCCCACAGGCCCTCAGCCACAGCAGCCGTGGAGAGACACCGGACCCCACTGGCACAAGTTCTGGGCACACCAGTGTGCTGCTGCCCGGTGGGCGCCTCGGGCCCTGGCTCTCAGGCACAGGTAGCAGGTCCCTGGGCAGAGGATGCGTGTCTTGGCCTGCTGAGGAGCCCTGCAGCCGCTGCCCACACTTCAGGAATGTTCTGGAGCACAGTTCCACCACAGTGACCACTCTGTCCACCTCAGCCCTGTCTGAGGGGGTCTCTCCTCTGCACAGGACTGGTGGCGACTGAAGGAGACTGCCGGGTCCTGACCCTGGAACCTCTGGACATGACCTGATGGGGCAGGGTCTTGGCGAGGGGATTGTCCTGGATTCAGGGCAGACTCCAAGTCCCATGCCAGGAGATCTGAGAGAAGAGAGAATTGAGGCCCAGATAGAGGCCACAGGGGATGGAGGCCCCGATGTGAGGAGCCACCAGGAGCTCTGTGAGGCAGGAAGGCCCCTTCCCTGGGCCCTGGAAGGGCCAGCCCTGCCCACACCTGGAGCTGAACCCCTTCTGAGGCGTGAGAGACAGCCTCTTTGTCCATGGTCATTGGCTGTTGCAGCCCTGGACAGGGGCCACCGAGCTGCCTGCTGGGACTGCGGCTTGGCCGTGTTTCTGTCTTGGCTGGAAGTTCGATCAACCCCGTCTTTGCTGTTGCTCTCTGGCCATTTGTTTGGACAGGGTCCTGGTATGTTGCCCAGGGTGGAACTCCTGGGCGTGAGTGGGCCTCCCAAGCAGCTGGGACTACAGGTGCCCGCAGCTGCACCTAGCCCCAGTGAAGTACTTGGCCAACATTGCCAGGTACCCATGAAGCTGAGTGGGACTTGAATCTGTCCACCGGGAATTCAGATGCTTCTGCGGAAAGGCAGCATAGATTCTGAAGATGCCCTGGGCCAAGATGGCATTTCACAGTGCAGTATTTGCATTGGACACATGAGGGCGCCTCCATAAAAGGAAACGGGTGTGCCCAGTGCCCCCTCCCTGCACTGTCCTCACTCAGGCACGCGCATGTGCGCACCCTCCCCCTGCATGCACACACACAAGGCACTTACACACCCCGCAGTACTCGCCGCATGCACACACAGGTATGAACTCGCATGCCCTCACCCCACACCCCCTACACACACTCACACACACACTGCCCACACGTGCACAAGTGCACACACAGTGAATCAGTCTTCCTTTAATTATGTCTGGGTTCATCAAGGCTGGAATTCCTGAGGGGGAAGGCTGCAGCAGGCGCTGTCCCTGGCTGAAGAGGACCGTTGGCCTTGCTGCCGAGTGGGAGGCTTCTCCTTCAGCCACTGCCATCCCAGGAGGCGCTGCAGAGGGCTCTCGGGGGTGCAGCTGTAGGGGAGGGGTCAGTGCCCCTCGAAGTTCAGGTCACTTTTTTCCTGTAGACACATGCCCCAAAGTTTCCCAGATATTTTACCCAAATATCTGACAAACGGTGATGTGTGTTTTCCTGGGCTAAGAGACAAGTCAGCCTCTGAAGTCCATCACCTTCGAGCTACGCAGTCCTGCGCGGCTCCAGGTTGTGCGGGGGGGAAAGTCGAACCTGGGCTGGGGGCAGGGAGGCCGCCCTGCGCCTGGCCGTCTTGGCAGTGGGTTCTGAGGCCCCTGTTGGACTGCCCGGCTGGGTGACTAATCCAGACATGAGATGGCGCCGATGACTGGCCTTCCTCCCGTCCTGGCAGACCAAGGCCCATGCCTCTTCGTATCCCATCCTCCAACAAATTGTTAGGAAAGCAGGGAGAACTCGAGCCCCCGAAGGAATGAAGGAAGAAGAGAAGTAGAGGTGCACCAGCCCGTGACCCTCCGGGGGGAGGCATTGCCCCCAGCCGTGGCTCTGTGCCCTGGCCCTCCTCCTACAGAGCGGGTCTGCAGAACCAGAGAGCAACGCCTCAACCCAGGAGAGCCCGGGCACCCCACCTGGGGCGAGAGGCCTAGAGCAGGTCACTCCATCGACGGCACTCCCGTCAGGTCAGCTGGGCTCACGCTTGGATTTCAGAGTAGCAGCACACGACAGTGACCACAGGCCGTGGGCATGGCCGTGGGCGCCTGGGGAGCACCGGGTGTGCCCCATGCTGGGAAAGCACACCGCGGCCTGGAGGCCACGGGGCCCTTGGCCCTGCCTCGAGATGGAGGGTCCAGGGAAGGAGCACAGCCCAGCAAGGGTTCTGACATGAGGTGACCCCCAGAAGCTCCCATGTGAGGCATCCCACGAAGGCTCGGAAGTGAGAGCCTTGACCTGGGGACTGACTGGGTGGCCGCTGGGGGTGGGTGTGGCTGGAGGGCTGCCTGGGGTCTCCGTTCTGGCGAGGACTCTGCTTCCTGGTGGCCTGTCCTAGCTCTGCCCTTCTCCACACGTCCTCTACGGCTGCCCCCCACCTCAGGTCCAGAGCAATGGAGCCGGCCACCTGTGGACTGGGTGCTCTGGAACCATGACACCCCCAAACTTTCCCTCCTCTAAAATTGTCCTGGTCAGACAGTTGGCCACAGCTGTGGAACGGCTAGGATCAGCCCAGGGACGGGCACTGCGGAAGCCCCGGGCGTCTCGGGTGTGGCCCGAGAGCGGCGGTGCCAGCTCAGTCCTCTACTGGGGTGGCCTGGGGTTTCACATGTGGTTTCCTTCTTGTGTGACGCTGGGCGTCGGGTTGGGCCCCAGCCTGACGAGGACTCCCCTGTGCCACCATTGGCAGCTCACAGGCTTTGCCTGAGCTGCTCTGAACCCCACAGCGGTGGTGTCTGTCAGGGCCAGAACTGGTGGAGCTGGACAGGCCAGGGGTCCTTGGACGTCAGATGGTTGGCGGAGCTGTAGAAGGTGAAGTGTGGACGTGCAAGCAGGCATCTCATGAGGTGGTATCTCTTTCTCTGAAATATATACCTTATGAACACTTTTGGGGACACAGATTAGCAATCTCAGTTTTAAATTTGATTTGAAGAGCAATGTATTTGTAGCTGCCCCGAGAGATCGTGAAATTCGGTGTTCACAATATTACCAAAAGCTGACTGAATAGTCAAAACATAGTATTGCTTTGGGTGCCCAGCACTGTGCACACGTGCACACGCACACTCATGCGCGCACGCTCACGCACACACACACACACACACACACACACACAATAGTATAGAGTATTGCTAAAGTCGTGTGTGTGCTCTTTGATTCGGAAGCCATTCAGAGAGTTCACATGATGGGAAATGTGAAATTGGAGTTAAAAAGCACAGGAATCTTCTTTGAAAGAAAAAGCTCAAGCTGGCATGAAGAGACCTGGGGTGGTCAACACCAAGTGACCTCCTGGACACTGTCTTGCTTCCTCCCTCACACGCCATTGATGGTGGCTACTGAGGAGAATGGGCACCAACAATTTCAGAAGCTTCTGCGAGCCAGGAATCCAGCCTCTGGTCTGTAGGTCTGGTGGCCAGAGCCCGTGTTGAGAGCCACAACCAGGTCAAGATGGCGCCTGGCATTTTGCCAGAAGGAGTGGTTGAGAAGTAGCGCCAGCGAGCCATTAAGATGATGATAATTAAGTTAAGCTGTGTATAATCATTAAGATAATGACTGATTGCTGGAAGTGGATGATGCTGGACTGGGGCAAGCTGTGTATTCAGTTGTGTATATGAACCTCTGCTGTCCGGCAATAAGGCGGCTCCTGCTACCTCGGGTGCCCGCTACTTTTGAGTTCTCGAGGAGTTCCCGTAAGTTCTCATGGAGTTCCCGTGGAGTTCTAGAGTTCCCGTGGGGTTCTAGAGTTCCCGTGGGGTTCAGGCAATAAAGGAGTTCCTGTTTGAACCTACAAGTGGCTCGTGACTCCGGTTATTTGTGCCCAGCCAGACTGTGGCAAGCCTGGACTGCGTGGGGTGGCCTGGGGTGTCCTGGGGCCGCCTGGGATAGCCTGGGGCAGTGTGGGATAGCCTGGGGCAGCGTGGGGTGGCCTGGGGCATCCTGGGGTGTCCTGGGGCCTCCTGGGGCCTCCTGGGATGGCCTGGGGTATCCTGGAGCATCCTGGGGTGTCCTGGGGCCTCCTGGGGCGTCCTGGGGTGTCCTGGGGCCTCCTGGGGCTGCCTGGGGTGTCCTGGGGTGGCCTGGGGCCTCCTGGGGCCTCCTGGGGCGTCCTGGGATGGCCTGGAGCATCCTGGGGCTGCCTGGGGCGTCTTGGGGCATCCTGGGGTATCCTGCAGCATTCTGGGGTGTCCTGGGGTATCCTGTGACGGCCTGGGGTGTCCTGGGGCCTCCTGGGGCGTCCTGGGGTGGCCTGGAGCCTCCTGGGGCCTCCTGGGGTGTCCTGGGGCGGCCTGGGGCACCCTGGGGCCTCCTGGAGCATCCTGGGGTGGCCTGGAGCATCCTGGGGCTGCCTGGGACGTCTTGGGGCACCCTGGGGTATCCTGGAGCATCCTGGAGTGGCCTGGGGCATCCTGGGGTGGCCTGGGGCCTCCTGGGGCCCCTGCGGTCGCTTGTGTTTTCTCGCACTCTCCATGGGGAGCTGCTGTGGAGGCAGGAGACGGGCACGCAGCAGCACACCTGGGCTGGCGACGTGGTGCGCCTGGCACCAGCGTCTGACCACGTGGCAGGCAGAATCGCCAGGAGCAAGTCACCTTTCTAAGGTCTGGAGGTCAATCTGCACTGCCACCCACCTCGGGGTGGCAGGACACCCGTACAGGGACACGAGGTGATGCTGGTGTCGGGAGCCATCCTGGTGACCATGCATTCTCGCCATGCGGTGCCTGTGACCAGGCTTTCTGTGAAGCCTGCAGGTAGCCAGTGCCACGGCAGGTCAGCTCATGTGGGACCACAGTGACCGGGGAGCGGCCGCTGGGGACCAGGAGGCCCAGGAGAAGCGGGCGAGCTGAGCCGGGCTTCTTGGTTCTCTGCCTGACACTGGGCCCCATCCTGCACCCAGCCACCATGCCCGAGGACACACTGGGTGCTGGAAAGGTCATGGCCTGTTTGAGGCTGAGACCGCAGGCCCCACAAGCAGCACTAAGCAGCTGCCTTGGGAGGAGACACGCTCCTGGACAAGCAGCCGTCAAGATCTTCCTGACCCCTCGGGGCAGGGCCACGTGGAGGAGGGGGCCACGTGGAGATGGGGGCAGAGGTAGGACACTGATAACTGGGGACACGGATTGCTGGGGACACCAGAAGCTAGCAGAGGCCAGGAGGGACCTTGCAGGAAGGTGGCCCCACCACACCTTGGCTTCGGCCTCGGCCTCCTGGGCCCTGAGGCCACGTTGTCAAGCCGCCATTTTGTCTTGGTGTTCCAGGACCACGGCCATCTCGCCCCATGCCCCCGAGGAGTGGGCTGTCCACCTGTGGCCTCCCCCAGGATGGGCTCCCACCTCAGGGCCCTCTGCCTTTCCCTGGAGGCTCTGTGACCCCAGCCACACCCTGGAGGAAGTGTGGGTGCAGGGCCCACGGCGGCACCGTGCTCCTGCTGGACCAGCGGTGTGGCCTGCACATCCATCAGGCGCCCTGACAGCCCTGCCCTGCTGTCCTGCCTTGCGGGCCTGAGCAGCATCTGTCAGTGTGGAAGTGACAAAGGGCGTCCCTTCCAGGCCCACCTCCTGAGCCAGCTCTGAATCAGTGTCCTTTCTCCGCGGCCACAGGGACACCACTCCATCTCTTTCCAGTGTCACTTCTCTCACTCGCTGTGGGGAAATGGCGTGAGGAGATGGACTGTGGAAATGGCCCCAGGGTCAGGAACGGGGTGAGGCCACGTCTCCTGCCAGCCTGGGGGCTGGGGCCTCCCGCTGTCCTCCGAGTGTGGACTCAGACTTGGAGGTGGAGGACGCAGCTCTGCAGGGTCCAGGAGAACCGGCCCCCGGGAGGTGGAGGCTCCTGGGCTTGGTGCCGCCTGCCCTGACAGTGGCCAGTGTCCCTGACCTTCATGGCCAGCAGGACGCTGCTCCACGGGACGTCCAGGCAGGGGTGTTTCCACAGGTAGAAGGGTGACTGCTGTGTCCTCGTCTCCTCAGGGACACGCGGGTCTCTCCCTCCTCAGGGCTGTGCTCCGTCAGTGCCCCCTTCTGCTTTCCTGGGACGTGGGGTGGGGCCAGCTAGTTGATCAGTGCACGCCAGGTGTCCTTGCAGGGGCAGGATGCGCCGTCCCTGGTCCTGTTGGTTCCAGGTGTGGGCCCCACCTCTGAGGCCCTGGGAGTCGGCTTGTGCTCCGGTGCTGGAGCGTGGGCTTGGGCCTGGGCAGCCAGAACCAGCCGCCAAAGGTGGAGGGGGGGCAGGGTGTGCAGGGAGGGCTTGCCTGTGGCCCACGGCAGGGCGAGGCCCGTCCCGTGGAGGGCAGTGGTGCTGAGGGTGTGTGGTGGCCACATGGCGGCCACCGTGGTGAGGAAACCCAGCCTGGGAGAAGACTCCCCAGGCTCACGTAGGTCGCAGCCCTGGGGAACCTGGGCCTCCAGGGACGTCCACCTTCCCTGTAGCCCTGCGCTTGGCAGGGACAGGGACACGGGGACCCAGGGCTGCCCTCCAGATGCCTGGACTTGAGCAGATGGCCCTGGCTGGGGGCGAGGCAGTCACGGGGTCCTTATCACTGCGAGGAGAGGCCCTGAGGGCAGGGCAGAGGGAGGTCAGTTAGGAGTGTGGGTTCTGATCCTGGCTGTGTGGTGCCAGGGACGGAACCCAGGCCGCACCTGCTAGGCAAGGGTCCTGCCGCCCAGCTGCACCCTGCTCCTTGGCCCGACGCTAGGGAGCAGGAGGGAACCAGCCCGGGCGGATGGCAGGGCTGGGCAGGGATGGTCGGGTCAGCAAAGCCTGGCAGGCAGCTGCAGAGGGAGGGTGGGCTCCCCGGGCACCATGTCTAGTGTCCACTTTGAGGGGCCAAGCAGGAAGAGCGTCCGGAGGGCCTGGTGCAGCCTCAGGGCAGAGGCTCAGTGGGCCGTGGGGGGCGGTGCAGAGGCAGGTGGGTTGGCTCCCCACCTCCCGCCTGCGGAGTCAGCGGGCTGTTGGCTCTGCACGGAGCCCCCTCAGCACAGCCAGGTTCAGGGGCCCAGCTCAGATGACCGCTGGCCGGGCCTACCCTGGGCTGCCGTGAGTGTTTACTGACTCTGCCCTGAAGCCCGGTTCGCACACCCTGACGGCGGGCCCTCCCAGGCGGGCCGTGTGGGTTGCGTCCCCCTCCACGCTGGCTGCGGGAGGATCTTTGCCCGCGACACACATGTGGGCCCGGGTCTGGCCCACGCTCGCTTTTTGGCCCTCTTGCCCTTGGTGAGTGGAATAACTGGTCACCAGTGTCTCATCGGTCTCGCTGGACACTGCCTTGAGGTCTGTCCCTGTCCCTTGCCTGGCTGTCTTCTGCTCAGTCTCATCGTCAGGTTTATAGAGTCTGTAGGGGACTGTGTAGCCTCCCCCACCGTGGCCCTGCCCCACTGCCCCAGCCCTGGGGACCGTTTCCTGTGCGGGTGCAGCTGCTGGTGGTGGACGATGGGAAGTGAAGCCAGGCCACCACTGACCCTCAGCACTCCACCGTCTTCCCCCAGGCTTCGGACTCCGCAGGCGGAGAGGGGGAGCCCTGGGTCAGGCCTGCCCCGAGGGACTGGGGCATGTGTCCCTCAGCTCGGCCACTGTGGCCTGCAGTCAGTCACATCAGGAGCCTCGTGCTGCGGGGGGCTTGGTGGAGTCAGGTGTGTCCCACCCCCTGGGGTCCTGGCCTGTGGCAGGCAGAGGCCACAGGAGAGGGCCTGGGCTGGGACTCGACAGGAACCAACCTGCGTCCCACTGGTGCCAGCTCCTTGCCTTACTAAGGAGTCAGTACTGACCGCTGGCCACAGGACTGACTTCCAGAACCTTCCGTGGTTCTGTGGTATGTAAAGTCCCAGGGCCGCCTTCCTTTTCAGAGCCGTGATTGTGGCCGGGTGGGGGCCGCCTGGGCAGGGGCTGATGGACCTGCTCTCAGAATCCTGGACCAGCCACCGGAAGGACGAGTGGGACGTGGATGGCAGAGGGCATGGCAGAAAGAGCGTCAGGGAAGTCACAGGCCAGGTGTCCCTGGTTCCCTGGAGGTGACAGGACCAGTGACAGGGAGCATGCTGTGGGAGGAGGGCCCCAGGCAGCGGTGAGGAAAGGGAGGCCCGGAGCAGGAGGCCTGGCCGAGGTCTGAGATGAAAGGCCAGAGGCAGTGGACGTGGAGAGGAAAGGTTGGGAGGGTCACAGTCCAGGCCTAGGAGCCTTGGCACGGGCCACCCTGGCTGCTCCACCTCATGGCTTGGGTGGCAGTGGCCAGGAGCATGTGTTGGGGACAAGCCATCAATTTCACATCCAGTGGAGCAGGGGGAGAGGAGGGCACAGGGCCAGGGGCCCCTCTGAGAGGATGCCCCGTGACCCCAGGACCTGCTCTAGGCCCACTCCAGAGCCCACAGCGCCTCCCAGTGGTGCCCCTGGGGATGCAGCTGAGGCATAAGGCTGCGCTCCAGCTGCTGGCAGGCGCCCGGGAGGCATGGAGGCCGGGAGGCATGGAGGGCCGGGAGGCATGGAGGCCCGGGAGGCATGGAGTGGCCACACTGTGGGGCTACTTCAAGATTCCCCTGTCTGGGCTTTTCTTGCTTTTTGAACCCTAAGACCTGAGAGATGAAGGGAAGGGGATGTTTGAGCATTTTTAATTATTAAAAAATTCTTTTTAAGTTCTGATATTGTTCAATAATTAACTTTCTTTAGATCCTGCTGTTTCTCAGGTGGAAACTTAAAGGCAAATGGCAGAGTCAAAAAGAAAGAAAATCAACAATCATCAGCCCTCCCCAGAAGCCCCAACCAGGCGTGCTCTGCCCTGCCGTGTCCAGGGCACCGGGTGGGCCTTGCAGGTTGGGGGCTGGTCTCCTGTGGCCACCCTTGCCACTCTCAGGCAGGACCATGGCGCAGTCTGACAGGCCCTCTGCCCCCAGCAGGCTCAGCCAGCTGCTGCAGCAGCAGAGGCCCTCGGCCGAGGGCGGCCCGCGCTGGGGGCTCACAGAGGGGAGCACGAGGTGGGGGGAGGCAGCAGGCAGGGTGTCCGTCTCCCCCAGTGTGGCAGAGGCCAGGGTCAGTGCGCTGTTCTGCCCCCCAGCTGCAGCACGTGTGGAGGTGGGGGGCCAGGGCTGGGCCCATGTGCCCTGGGGTCCCTGCTCAGCCCCTTCTGAGCCTGTGGATGTCACTGGGTGTGGCTTTAGGAACCTCACACCCTGTTCCCTGTGGCTCTCAGACTCTGGGGTTGAAGCCCAAGCCTCAGGGGTGGCAGTGGGGGTGGGGACTTTAGGAGACGTCTCGAGGGCGCAGCTCTTGATGGGATTGGTGCCCAGAGCTCTGCCACTCGAGGACATGGAGTGGTGGCTGTCTGCAGGCTGGGAGGAGGCCTTGACCTTGGGCTTCCGTTCTCCAGGCTAAGGCCGGACCTTCGGTGGGCTGAGCCGTGGCCTGTGCGTCCTGTCACTTGTGGCCGGAGCAGACAGAGCCCTGGTCCTGGGCACTGGCAGGGTCTGCAGGCGGCTTCCCTCCACGCTGGGCACGCCTGACAAGCTCGGTGAGGTCATCGGGGAAGCGCAGCCAAAACGCAGGGAGCACCTCCGGCCCCTCGGGAGGCCACTCGAGAGCCTTCCGAACACACCAGGTGGGCAAGGACGAGAAGGACCAGCGCCCTCACAGCTGCTGGGGAGCGGGCAGGTGACACTGCGAGGCCACAAGCCAGCTCCTCAAAAGCGAGCAGAACTGCCCGAGGCCGGCCCCTCCGGGTGAGGCTGGGGTGTGGCACACAGGGGCCTTCACAGGGTTCCCCTCGAGGGCTCTGGGCTGAGCTGTGGATCCTTTCTCTTGATTCTGGTTTTTTTCTAGGAGGTTTTTAGTGGCGTTGGGGAAGGAACCCAGGGCCCGTGCCGACAGGCCAGCGCTCTGCCCTGCGCCACAGGCCCCACCCTAGGGAGGTGTGCAAGGCCTGCTCTCCTGTGCTCTGTGTGCGGGCGGTGACCCACTCCTTGGTCATAAGGTCAGTCGGAACCCTGGGATCACCACCAACTAAGCTTCCGGCGGAGTCGGATCCGACACCAGGTGCCTCCCTCGGTGGTGACCTGGGTGTTTCTTGCTCCAGCCTGGGGCTGGCTCCTCATGAACGAGTGGGGACTGGGGTGTGGCCGTGAGGTCTGGCAGAGCTGGGCCTGTCCTGCAGGGGCGTGGTCAGCCTTGGGGCAGTGTGGTCTCTACCAGCCCGTGTCCTTTTATTAAACCGTACAATCCGCCACTTAAAACCGTTCAAGACAGTGAATGTTAGCATATTCAGACCCGCAGTGATTGCCACGTTGGTGCATGCCCCACGGGGCCTGGAGGTGCTGACCATGGGGCCTAGAGGAGCCAGGAGGTGTGGAGGTGCTGACCATCGGGCTTGGAGGTGCTGACCATAGGGCCTGGAGGTGCTGACCACAGGGCCTGGAGGTGCTGACCACGGGGCCTGGAGGTGCTGACCACGGGGCGTGGAGGTGCTGACCACGGGGCGTGGAGGTGCTGACCACGGGGCCTGGAGGAGCCAGGAGGAGCCAGGAGGTGTGGAGGTGCTGACCACTGGGCTTGGAGGTGCTGACACGGGGCTTGGAGGTGCTGACCACGGGGCCTGGAGGAGCCAGGAGGTGTGGAGGTGCTGACCACAGGGCAGTTCTGCTCGTTTTTGAGGAGCTGGCTGTGGAGCCTCGCAGTGTCACCTTCCCACTCCCCAGCAGCTGTGAGGGCGCTGGTCCTTCTCGTCCTTGCCCACCTGGTGTGTTCGGATGGCTCTCGAGTGGCCTCCTGAGGGGCCGGAGGTGCTCCCTGCGTTTTGGTCTGCGCTTCCCTGATGACCAGTGTGTCGAGTGTCTTCTCAGGAGCTCATGGTCACTTGTAGGTTTCCCTCCGGGACAGGTCTGCTCTCTGTAGCCCCCCAGCCCCTCCACCCACCCTAATTTCCTCAGTACTAGGAATTGGACCCACTTTGCTAACTGGGTTCTATCTCCAGCCCTTTATTTTATTTTATTTTTTAAAATTTCCAGACAGGGTCTTGACAAGTTGCTCAAACTGGCCTCAAACCTGCGATGGTCCTGCGTCAGTGTCCCAGTGGCCAGGCGTACAGAGGGGCCACCATGCTTGGCTGCCCGCTCCTTCCTCTCCCCTGTGAATACCAGTCTGAGCACCTTGGTGTAGACGCGTTCACTCCCCACTCAGGACCCTGGCACCCGGGGGACGTCAGCTCTCACAGAGGCCCAGGAGCGCTCTGGACTCTCTGTTCCACTCTGCACCGAGGCCAGGACCACACTGTGTGGACCTCATTGCCCTTGGTAAGTGTGAATCGGGAAGTGTGAGCCTTCCACCTTGTTCTCTTTCTAAGAATGTCGGGTAGCTCCGATCCCCGGCTGTGGCCTATGAATTCCAGAGCCAACTTCTCTGCAGGGACGGACGGGATTCTCACTGGGATCCTGTTGAATCTGGGGAGAGGAGCAGAGCCCTGAGAACAGGCAGGCCTTTCAATCCATGAACACGGAGGCTTCCCACTCATTAAGGTCTTCTTCGATTCATTTCAGCCATGATTTGTAATATTTATATTTGTTCTATTAAATTTATTCCTAAGTATTTTATCCTTTTTGATGCTATTGTGAACAGAATTGTTTTAATTTTTATATCAATGTTTGGAAAAACCATTGAGGGACCAGAGGCCAGAGCTCAGTGGTAGGAGCTCTTGTCTAGTATGTGCAAGGTCCTGGGTTCAACTCCAGCACCCAAAGGAAAAAAGAAAGAAATACAATGGTTCTGTACATATTGCTCTATCTTCCCAAGCGCCTTTATGAGTTCCAACAGGTCATCAGTGGATCCCTGAGGTCATCTGTAGACAAGGTCACGTCATCAGCAGGTCGAGTCCTACACATCCCGCTCCCACCCATTTGCCTTCCGTCTCTCTTCCCCCAGAGTCTGCCCTGTCAGCACCAGTGCCATGTCCCACAGCAGTGGGAGGACCAACATCCACAGCTGCTACTGGCCTTGGGGAAGCCCCAGGCCCTTCACCACTCATCGTGGCGCTGGTGTGGGCGCTGCGGACCTGTGCTGCACCCGCGGAGAACTTCACTTTCATCCCACTTTTTTTTTTTTGCAGTCCTGGGGCATGGAACCCAGGACTTCTCCTATGCTAGGAAGGCCCTCACACTGAGCCAGGCCCAGCCTGGCACCACCATCACCATCACCATCATATTAGGTAATGGGGTTGAACCTGGGGGTGTTCTACCACTGAGCCACACCTGCAGGTCAGTTTATCTTCATTCTGAGACAGGGTCCTGCTAGGTTGTCTAGGCTGGTCTTGAACTTACAATCCTTCAGCCTCAGTCTCCCAGGTGGCTGGATGGCAGATGTGGGCACTGGTTCTGGCGCTTCCCTCTACCTTTCCCTCAAGTGCCTTAGGATTTTGTCGAACGAATGCTAGGCCTTCAAAGCCCGTTTAGAACAAATTCTTACCACCCTGGCATCGTAGGCTCTGCATTTCTCCATTCACCGCGGCTTCAGGGAACGAGGCCCTCTCTGCCCAGGCCCTCGGCCCTGGGCCCTGGGCAGATCCCACGCTGGGCAGGACTGTGGCCTCCCCAGCTGCTGGAGTCTCCTTCCAACACGTTACTGCAGTGCTTCTGCGGGGCTTCTGAAGTGGCCCTGAGTGGCCAGCCCCCCCACTGGGCCTCGCGAGGTCCCCTTGCCTTAGGAAGTGCTCTGCCTCCTTTCACAGAGAGGGCAGCTGAGCCTGGAGGGCAGTGGGTTGCCTGGAGTCCACTGCTGCTGGCTGGCAGGGCCTGGGGCCGAACCTTCCCGACCTGGGCCTGGGTGGCCCAGTGTGCACCTGCCTGGTCTGGGGCCATGGGCAGAGGCTCAGGTGGCTCATACAGAGGTGCTGGGGGCCGTGGGCAGAGGTTCATATGCTCAAGGGGGTGGCAGTGGAGAGAGCTCCTGTCTGGCTCGTCACCTGTCCTCGTGTCCTGAGCTGCCGGGAGGAAAACCCCACTGCTGAGCCCAGGAAGTGGCGGGAAACCAGCAAAGCCTCCTCCGGCAGTTGTCCCTTAATCAAAGCCAGCACTCTCTGTGGCTTGGAGCCCTGATTACACCCCTCTGGAAGGTGCCCTGGCTTGCTCCCTCCCTGATCCTCCCATTCTTCTGATTTCTAGGTCAGAGCGTGGGAGACCTGCAGCTCTTGGGCTGGGCTCCGAGCTTTGCTCTTGCTAGGATGTTCCCTGGGGCGCAGGCGCCATACCCCTTTTCCAGAGGACCTCAGGTCCCACCTTCTGCCAATTCCCCACTTCCTGGCCCAGGGCAGAGGAGGTGGGCTTCAGGGCCATTGTTCCCGACCTCTCTGGAACCCGCCCCTGAAGAGCCAGAGATTTCCTCTGC